CCTGTCTGCTGCCCTAGAGTACTTCACGAAAGACGAGCTACAATGTTCGCGCCAAAGTCCCAACCAGAAGGACGTCATCTTTGTCATGCTCAACGGAGAGAAAACGTTCGTGCCAAAGCGCTTCATGACACGCTCAATACGAGAGGCCTTCCGTATATACAAAGACAAGCATCCCGATTCTGGCGTTGGGCTAACGAAATTTTATTCGTTGCGCCCTAGATGGGTCCAATGTATTCCACACCAGGAAGTGTGCGCTTGTGTGCGCTGCGCCAATTATTATCTTTGTATTGCCGCTCTAGAGAACGTTACAGGCTCAACATTCAACGCTGGTGAAATGAACTCGGCATTTCTGTGCGACCCAGCAACAGGACTGTGCCTTCAAGGTGACTGTGATCACTGCCCAAAAGGCCAGTTTCTTACACTCCAGAAACTTGATATCCCGGAGGATGAAGAGATTGTGCTTGCAACATGGGAGTCCGGCGACCTTGTGAAAAAACTTTGGAACCTGAGACTTTCCTAAAAGTCATCCAAGTGACGGTTGGAAGTTGGGTACTTCAAAACCATATCCGGCAAACGCAAGGTAAAGCGATCTACGATGAAAAACAGTGCATGCAACGCGGGAGCATTGTCTTTCATTTTGACTTTGCTGAAAACTGGACCATCGTGCTTCCTGAGGAAGTGCAAGCATATCACTGGAAAAAAAAACAAGTTTCGATATTTACATGTGTAGTGACGACAAGAAAATCTACAAACAGCTTTGCCATCATCAGTGAGGACCTGTGTCACGACGCCGCTCACGCTTGCTTGGCTCTAGAAAAAGTGAAGGAGTGGGTTGAAGACAACGTTACGGTATACTCGTACGTGACGTACGTAAGTGACGGCGCCGCCAGTCATTTCAAGAATCGCTACCAGCTTCACCAATTTGCAAAGGACGATTGCCCACAAGTCCAGTGGTTATTTTCTGCATCTGGACATGGGAAAAATGCATGTGACGGAGTTGGCGGACTCGTGAAGCACCAGGCCACGCTGAACAACCTGAGAGAACGTTCAGTAAGCGCAATTCAGACGGCCAGGACAATGGTGAGTGTTCTATCAAAGAAACTGAAAGGCGTGCATCTTGTATATCTGGACGAAAATGAGGTTGTTCGGTATCGTGAACAAAAAAAAGAAGAGTGGCTGACGGTGCGCGCCTTCCCTGGCATTCAGTCTTGGCACGCGTGGCGGCTCAGCAAGTCATCAACAGAAGGGACCTGTGACGTATATGTAGCACGGACAGTCGGATCTGCTTGCAAGCAACTTTATTAAATGGGTACAGCGAGGAAAACCTTAGCGTAAAGTGCCGAATTTGATTTCCCAAGGACTGCTCATTTTGAATGCAGGGACATCTTATTTATCACATTTTTCTTCACGGGGTATTTAACCTACTGTTTTTGTTGGTGGTTACTAATAATTTTTATCTGATCACTATAAAAAAAATCCCAAAATGTTATCCTCGAGCAGGATAAAATATATCGGCTTGCCACGATTCATTCATACACCGATAGCATCGAAGCTGCTCCAGTTAGGCACTATGGCATCCGTCACCTGAAATTGTTTGTAATCGTAAATACACAGCCAACCTAAATATCTTACTATTATATCTTTGTTTTTGTGTGTGGACGTAAAGTTATTTATTTTACTCTAGATGTAAAATATACCGGAGGGTACAACTTCACACTGCATCATCTTTTCTCAAATCATTAGTCTCTAATATGATACCACTTTGTACGCTTATGTAAAATGCTGTATATAGTTTCTCCTCCCTTTTACTGTGTAACCGATCGTTCTTTTTATCAATGACCTCATCTGAATAAATGTATATAAAAGATTTGTGCAAGTTTCATGAAACTGGAACTCAGAGTCACTTCTTGTATAGGACACTGCTAAGTGTAGGCTTTGAAAAAGGACCCTACCTTGGGGAGTTGTTTCTTCTTTCACAGTGCAATGATGCAACATGTTTTTAATAGAAGTGAATGCCGAAATAGAGTATAACAGGGTACCCAAATTTAAAAAAAATCGAAGGTGGTGTTTTTTTTATTCGCATTGGAATTTTTCTTTGTTTGATTTTTTTCCCATGTTTGTCTAAATATATTGTAACTATTGTGTCACTCAGATACCGTATTTATTTTTTCAATAATAGTCATATATTAGTAAAATAATGTCTGCAAGTTATGTAATAATGATTAAATTATTTCATGAGATACATATTTCCAAAGTTTGCCATTTGTCGTTCGAGCAGGCATGTTTGGCAATTTTTAGAAAACTAAATAAATTTTTAATAAATATTATTACTTTATATTACAAGCAAGTTGTACCCATAGTTTGTTTGTAAAAAGTTTTAAAATTCTCCTAATTTTATTGTTTTAATTATTCACTTTCAAACTTGCCCCCTCCATCAGTGCGCGTTATTGCAACTGTCCACCTCTCCCTGCCTTACGATTTTTCTTGTCTCCAAATTTTTTTTCTGGTCAAAACTAAGTGTGGATTCGTTTATACCAGACACAAGACAATGTCATATAAAAACATCAGTTGATTTAAAAATGTCGACCAGCCACCCTTTGGTCGATCTTATCTGAAATCACCCCTACAACTATCATGTCGGTGTCTTTGTTGTCGTGTAACCAGTTATTGATTTCATCTAGAAATTAATTTAATTACCACGAGGTGCTCCGTATATGCTTGGCATAGAAGTTTTTTTATTGTTATATTTGATTTTAATATGAAGAGCATCCGTTGGAAAGAACATAATTTTATTGCTTTTGGTTATCTTCCATTTTTAGTTTCACATTATCATGATTCTTCCTCCTCTCCTCTTATATCTAATATTTTGAAAACACCTCAAAATTTAAAAAAAGCAAGATTTATCCTTTGGTTTAATTGCAGTTTCCGAAAATACAATTTCTAACTTATCTAAGTGCGGATTTACCAAGCAGTTTATATCACTGAAATGTTTTCTAAGACTGCGAACATCAACGTGCAGAAGAACAAAACAAAACTCATTTATAGTATCGTTCATACTTTCCCACAATTTCTCAAAAGAAGAATACGTTTGTTTTCGGTCCATGACAAATCAAGTAGGAAGAGCAACCAGCAGATGTAACTCTATTTAATTTTTTCAAAGTAACTTTCGTCTTCGATTCGAACAGTTGGTTCGCATCCTTTTCTTTCGCACATATGAGCACCCTTCTTTATGCAACACAAACTTGTAGCCGCAGTGATTTGCTTTTGCTCTCGAATCACAAAATTACTTTGAGCTATTCAAGTGTAAAAAAATCGTATATATATGCCAACAAATCGAGTACACTGAAACTCTTTACGAGTGTTTCGTTGCTAAATTTTCGTGAGTATTTGGAGCGCAAGCTCGTCTGCTTCTTGCAATGCGGTTGCGGTGAAGCCAGAACGCCAAACTCTTAATGGCTGACTGGAAAAAGTAGTGGGCAGACCTGGAGGCATCTGACATTGAGGTCTATCCCCTATCCTTCCAATCCAAGCCAATCAGAGCTCGGCGTCGTTGCGACGTCAACGCAACTCCTGCTCAAGAAGCAGACGACTTACTCTCCGCATACGCTTCCGAAAGAAAATTGAAGCCGAAACCAAATCTTGGTTTTCTTGTGAATACTGCATGTAAAACAAAAACAGACTGTCTTGTTGACGCTGCTTCTCAAAGAGGGTGTTGCATAAAACAAATACTTGAAAGTTTCTTGAGACGTACTCCCTAAAGCAGGTACGGCAGATGTGAGTTCATCTGGAAGCGTCTGAGTACCAGCACCAACCAAAGGATTTTTTTTAAATTTTGTTTTATTCTACGTGCTTATAAGTATATAGTTTGTTCTTCTTTTCTCAAATTTCTTCCCTAAACCTAAACTTACAAAAGTTGAGTGAGTTAAATGCATCTTCTAAATATGTACATCTTTCAGCAAAGTTTCCTTGTATCCTGTTTATTCGCTCACTTTTTTGTTACGCGTGATTAATGTTTGAAAACACTATCTCGTTCTACTTAGAAACTTGCTGGGCATTGTTGAAAACTACTAAATTAGTAGAGAGTAAAAATAACTAAAGCGTGATTTTTTTTTTGCGGGGTTTATAAAGTACATTTAACTTTGCCGAATTCACGCATATTTTCGTTCCTCATGATTGTAGTGACAATAACGGCGACTTGTGCACCCAGATTTAAGAGTGATTCCTCAGGATCAACTGCTCGATCGGGGGTCACGTGGTTTATGAGCTGCGTTTGCTACACGAGCTGCGACGAGGTTACGAGCGCGGTAATCGTCTGCAAGCGTCTCCGCCTCTCCGCCCACTTTCCTCCTCACCACGCGACAACGCAACGCATGCGCACTTCACACCATACAATCTGTGCGAGACGTGTCCGCCATTCAATTGCAAACGCACTCTATGGTTTGAGTTGCTCCCTTTCTTAGATCTGAGCTCTCTAGCCGCGACCTTGTACAGCTATACGGCCTGCAAGTTCGTCTGCTCTTTGCGCACCTCGTGCGTCTGTTTACCTCCAAACGCTCCATGTGCTTTTGTTTACCCCCCAACCTAAACCAATGACGGCGCGCGCTTGGCTGCCTCGTCATCGCACGTTCCCCGGGCGTCCTCTATGTTGCCCTTTGATTGGCAGGCATGCTCCTTCCGTTCCAACGCGGGGAAGACGCATTTTGGAACACTACTCGCTGTAAACTTACTTTCACACTAAGTTCAGACGCAGCCGGCGCTACCAGCAGATTGGACAAACCAGACAGCGTCAAAGCCTCACCATCATGGTCTTTGTCATGTTTCTGTGCCTGTTCTATCATCGCTAAACCAATCATAAACAGAAAAGGCCTGACTTGCGCTTTTGACGCTGCTCGATTGGTACCTTTAGATCGTAACGTCGGCTACGTCTGGACTCAAGCTGAAACGAAGTATGGCAACGTCATTTCTTTTGGGCGGTGTCTCGAAACCGTCGACGTACGTACAGTGGTGGCGGAAAATCTTGTCCAGATGTCTCGGCGGGTGACGCCATGGCTCAGAGCTCTGCAAAACAAATTTTCAATGTGAGCAGATATTTTTAGCTCCAATCAACCTATCTCCATTTGATTGACCGGGCAGTTTCATCAACTCGTTCTTGAAGGCCCGACACCACTCCGAGCTCGCACTAGGTTTCCAAGTCGCACCGGGAGCTTCCGGTATCAATGTCGTTTCGCGGAAACAAGAGATGCTAAAAGTCTCCATTATGTTTTCTTTTGCATCAGAACAGACGGCTACAACGAGCAGAGGGGGCAGCACTTGAAAAACTACGGACCTGTGGCGTAACTTTGGGGGGCGTTAATTATGTGCGGTAGTTACAACTTACAAAAGCCCTTTGTAGATAGGAACACGTCTTCGTGTATACCTGCTTATGTTTAATCATCGGCTACAATGAAACATTAGTGAGTACATGCGCGCAAGCGCACAACTTATTGAATAATTGTTTAAGGCGTACCCCTATTAACAACGCGCACGAGAGCGATCAGACAGAGGCTCTTCATCAGGGACGATGTAGTATTAGCTCCTATGATTATATGTCTTTTTACTGTAAAGGACTTAATTTTTGCGAGAACCTAACTTTCGCAAATTTCGCGGCCTGATTGAGATCCCGAAAAATAGATCCCGCAAATACCTTTTCCTATCGTAACAACTACACAACACACTATCCGTATTCGCGAAGCTTCGTGCCCACGAAATATTCTCAAAAGCCACACTTTGCAAATTTGCGAAATATTAAACCCGCGAAGATAAAGTATTTGAGAGTATTTGTTATTTCCCAGTATTTCCGGCTAGTTTCTTTAATAACCTTCGTTGCTCACACTACACCTCAGATGCCGACTTTTAATAAACCCAAACTATTGTCAACTGGCTATGGGTTAATCTGCATCTTCAGTAACATGTATATGCCTTTTTGTTAATAAAACAAGTTGAATTTACTTGAATTGCTTCAGTGCACACATCGTCGATAAAAACATCGAATTTTGATTTCAGCTACAAATCAAAACACAGCCACTGCGAGCATGACTGGAACGCAGACTAAGCGTCCACGTTTATACGTTCCAGCAGTTAATGGTGTCTTTAAAGGCATTGTTTACTTAGGTTGCACTCGTTTTATTTGAGCGCCTCGTGGCGTTGATCTCTTTGTGGCTGCCACTGGAGTGCAATGTCTATAGTCCGAACTTCGAAACCTGAGTGGTTCCTTTTAAAAAATATTCTTTCGGCGTCCGACTCCTTTACATGGGCCGTGACAAACGAAAGAGGCGGTGCTGAACGAGCCCAGGCAAGACCCGGACCCCAGGGCAACCGTGGCCTTCCACAGCATCGACGGCACAATTTGAGTATTTATAAAGTGTTTGTCTATGATAGCGCTCCTTGTGTGACTTCCTCGGAGCGAGCAGAACTTGGCCTGATCGTGAATTGGCAGGCGACCCACATAACTGGCGCCCAACGTGGGGCCAGTTATGCTTTACTTACATGCTTTGCGATGAAAAGGCGTAAAGGTATATTTTCGCTTATACATCATTAATGGTTCAGAAATATTCGATCATAATGATATCTGCTAGCTTGTATAGTAACTGACAGCTTTACAAACGAAGAGAGTGGCCTATCATGATTAGGTTTTTTGTTTCGTGATTGGTTGTTCGCTTTTGTCATTGGCTGGTGCTGCAATTTGATTGGCTGCGGAGAGATAATGATGGGCTCGGGGTCTCGCCACGCCCTTCATTTCGTTCTGAAGCTCTCAGTGACTGCGGTATTCACGAATACAACGTGGATCTAGACGCGAACATCGTAATAGGCGTGCTATCGTCTCACGTTGACGTTCGCCGTGTAAACCATGTGACAGAGTTAACCCGAATTCGAAATTGCCTCTCCGTCACATCTTAAACATATACAGTGCTAAACATAATCAGGTTGATACACACACGTTTGCATAAGTTCGTGCAACCCCCTACAGACATTCTACTATTCCAAAGCGAAGCCTTTTAACAGTGTGCCTCGGAGCGCAACCGGCGGTCCTTTTTCCAAACACAATTGTCGATCATAATTTAAAAAAATACAAGAGCTGTTTTTTCCTTTTTTTATATACGGAGCTGACCTATTTTCAGTACATTATTCAACGCTGTTGTGGTGCCCAGAACTACGAACGATAACTGTGCTGAACTGAGTCTTGAACTGCTTGCAAATATAAGAAAAAGTTGGTACACATCTGATACTATACGGCTCAAGAGCTCCCATTCGTGGTTTCATAAATTTTTCTATTGGGTAGAAATTTATTAGTACCACCGCGCCTAGATCAATATTGCCCACGTGTCCATATTCTCCAGGTAAGGACAGGAATCACTAAGATGTATAAACTGAGGCCAGCGACCGACCTTTGGCCTAGAACGTTTGTTTCCAAAACTGCATGCTATTTGCGCTGGATTCGGGGCGACTATAAAGGCTTGCTTAGCGCTGCAGCGCCCACAGCATTCTTACGTGAAAGCTTATATCTGACTCGAAATGGTGCTACGCTTCTACTGTGGATTGCAACGGTTAGCAAGTCGCGCTGTCCTTTTCAGGAACCCAAAGTCGTGGCATTTGTACGTACAGACAGAGCGAACATTATTCGAGTAAATAAGAAATTCAGAGATTACGGCGCTGGCAGTACGGATGGGAGTGCGGGGTTTGAGTGCAAATAAGCAATCCTTTCGCGAAATACATTGTTTGGTAAAATTTTAGATCCTCTGAAATATGTCATCGTAAGACTAACAATTCGAGAGTTGTCACGACAAACGCTCGTACGGAGGAAAGCTCCCTCACACGAACACATTTTTAAACTTACAGACGCCAACTCCTGAAAGCTAATAAGTAAAAATCAAGGGTCTTACAAAAGAATACTCTTGCTATTACAGTTTGATGGTAAATAAGTATATTTAAGTTGCCGTATTTATTCAAAACTTAACGGGAAATTTTAATAGCAAATGCCAAGCGTTTGTTCCTCCTTATTTTAGTGCAGACCAAGTACATAAAAAACAATAAATGAAATTTACAACAAAGGACCGGCGATGAACGCGGCACATATCATGCTTGGAGCCAGAATACTTGGCTTTAGGTGGGGGGATTCTGAGCACATTCATTTCGCGCTAAAGGTACCACCCCAAAACGCTTTTTTTTTTAGTTAATTCTTGCTATTCTCAGTCGCTCCTTTCCTTGAGTTGATCCCATGCTCCATGCAGGGGAGCGGGCGGCTCTGTTTATAAAATGCTCGCTTTAACACTCAGTAGGCAGCATGAAGTTAATATTTCTTTTACTTACCAATTAGAACAAAAATGCGTATGATTATGCGACTTATATACCGAAATGCTAGCAAAGTCCAATGAAGTAGCAAACACGAATTTGGGCATTTTTTACATAAAAGCGGAACCCGCCATGAGGTCTCCAAGCTGTATTTAACTTGAAAATAATGTAACACGGACGTTTTAAATGTCACACATCCTGTTACGACACGTTGCCTTATAACAAAATAAGCCTACTTACGTTGATAGGAACGCATGCTAGAAGGACGATCGTTACCGTAATCCAGTTGCACTTTAACATGTTAGCGAGCGAAAGAGAAACCACCTCTCCATCCGAGAATATGTTCGGAAATTTTGGTGTCGTCGAGGCGCGTTTTAGACGGACATAGAACGCACACAGCGCCCCACGTCTTTTTGCTGCAAACCTGTGCAGCTCTGCATCTCTCTTATCAGTCCTCACGAGTCTTGCCTGAGAAGCCTCTTTGATACTCGATCCTCGCTAAGCAGATAGGTTCCCTTTACCGCTTTGCGCCGCGTAAACAGACGAATATCGGGCATCGCGAAATCATTTTTGTTTTGCCTATCTAAACAAAGCCGATATATTTAACTGCGTACCCATGTAAGGAAACGACTTATCGCAGGAAGTTCCCCCATGCACCCTATACCGAGGTGGCAAGGCTCGAGGTTTTAAGACCAATACGTGTATCGGAAGTTTAAAGCTGTTGATGATTAAGTAGCACCCTTTATTAGCTACGAGAGTTACGAGGTTTAGAGCAGTTTACGGATCTCTAATATTTTCCTTCATTCGTATCGCAATATTATAGGGTTGCCTAATTCACATGTCACGCCGCTTAAATTGCCGTAAACGACTTAATTTTAGCGAGGACCTTATTTTCGCAAATTTTGCGAATTGCCTAAAATTTACTAAAAATAGGTTCCGCGAACAATTCCGGTAAACTGTAAACACATTGGAATCTATATTGAGAACCCAACGTGACGCGAAAATTAGAACCCGCGAATTATTACAAAACTTAAGCTTTTACCTAAATCGCGAAATATTGAGCCCGGGAAAAATAAGTCGTTTACAGTATTTGAATATGTGCTCGAAACACACATTAATACAATTTGCAAACTTCTTCGGCCGTGCCTGGCAAAAGTCTTGCACGCAGAATACGTAGCAAGGTGTGTAGTTGAGCGAGTCGGTGCGTGATGGAAATAAATGAAACACCGCAAGAAAGACAAAAAGCAGGTGAACGACACATCGCTGTGTTTGTGGGCCTTTTACTTGTTCCTCTAGTAGTTTTTTCGCTGCTGTATTTACTCTCTCACAACACGCGCAAGGAATTTGCACGTAACGTAAACAACATCTGTGTCTAAAAAAAGTGTAACGTTCGTTCTGTCGTTACACTTTCGCGAAGAGAGAGGAGGGGGTCAAGTTGCGATTTTAAGAAGTTTTTATACGCTAAAAACGTAAATGTCATGTGCCCAGACGCAGTGAGGATATATGCCTCACACTTAATGCGTTACAAGGAACTCTGTAACCCATCTTTTGTTTTTGTAAACCTTTGACTTCGACTTTATTTTTGGGTTTGCAAACAAGAACGAGTAACGCAGTTTCAATTCCATTACTTTTTGGCTAGCATATGCAGGGTGGTGCCGTAGGGACTAACACATTTGTCACGCCTCGCAAAATTCGATTTCCAAACGTACATACCTAAAATTGGGCACGCGAACGTAGTTTCGCCAGAATTGTTATGTTTATTTTTTTTATAGCTCACATCTGAGGCAGTAAAATATTAAAATGAAAACAAAACCGGAGGCCGCGCATTTCTTCTGTCCTATACCAGCCTTTGTCGTCTGCACACTGGTTTATGAGCTCGCTCTCGGGTGCGTTGCTGAACGCAAAAATGCTAGAAACAAACATCATGCAGAAGCTGGCGATGAAGAAGATAATCAGGATGATTAACACTTTTTAACGAATTATATGAACAATGACCACCTGGGAGCAAGCTCACAAACCAGTGTGTAGTCGACGAACATCCGGTGCAGGGCGTAGAAAATGCACGCCCCCCGTTATTGTTCTATTTTTAATATTTTACCACCTTTCATTGAACCCTGTACAAAATACACATAAAACTTCTTGCGAAACTACACTCGCGTGCCCAATTTCAGGATTGTACATGTGGAATATGAATTTTAGAAGGTGCGTCAAATATGGTAGTTCTTACGGTCGCACCCTGTAGTAAGAAAGCTTGCCTTTACTTTGACTTGTGCTGGGGTGGCGTAACAACTCAGATGCCTCCAATGGACTCATATTTGAATACAAATTGTTTCGGTATTATCAGTAAATACGCACGATCTAATATTCAATTTTTGTTTTTTTACTTTGCTCATTTTTTGTGCGTAAAATGTTAGAGCGTTTGATGATTGTGTGTCTGTTTGTGTGTTCGCTCCTTTTCTTGTCTGCGTTGTAATGCACACCGAGAAGACATGGTGCTGCTGGTGGGCATCAATAAATAAACATAAATTAATATTATACTGTACAAAGTGAGCGTTTGGTTTCCTATCTCCGTGCAATCTCATGACCCCAAAAAATGTTTTGTCGCCTGCTCGTATTTTCATCGCAATCATGCACAGAAGTTTCCGACAGTTAGAGCGGATGCTTTGCTTTGGGCATTGTTAGAGCTCAGTTATATTTGTAGCCGCACAGATCTTTGAAGAACGCCAACCCGAATATCTTCCGACTAATTGAGTATCTAACTGCAAACCGAACGGTGACCCCGTGATCATGTCCACTCCGTAAACTGCATTTGGTTGCTGTGTTTTGGAATTAGAAATGTCACTGTTTAGGATCACGATGAACTGGTTAATCATTCAATTCTTGTACATATAGTAAGGTCATATGGGGTGAACAACCAGCTTTGTACATTATTTTGAATTAACTAAAAAAAGAACAAAATTTGTTCAGATACAGAAAGATCATTCTAGACCGTCTCTCTCATACTCAGACGTACCGCAGAAATCCATAATCGCACCGATTCTATTCAATGTCTTAATAAATTATATAAGGTCTTGTATCCTCCATTTAAGTAGTTTGCAATATGCCGATGTTTTTGCAAGTTTCTTTTAGACATAACTGTGTACTGCCAATAAATGAGTGTTAAAGAACTGAATAATTTGTGTTACCGCAATTTTTTAACACTAACCTTTAATAAAAAGACAATTTTGTCATTTTTAAAGAAATGGAAAATTGTAAGTGTATTTATTTTCTTGATATTCTACCCCTGCGTAGGGTTAAGTGCAGAAGAGATTTAAGAGTATATACTGACTCGACCAATCGTCCTTCAATGGGCATGTCTCCAACATTATGAATGCGGCATTATTTTAGGATATTAGGGGTCGTTTATAGAAGTAGGCATGAATCCTCCTCCTCAACCCGAGTTTAATTCTGTCTTCTGAAATTCTGCATAAACGAAGAAAAGTTTGAAAAAGTACACATACATTTTGTTGCCATTGTTCATAACTGATATATAACCGTACTGTTTATTAAATATGCGAGAGTTTTACGACAATGTGGATGACCAACACTCAGCACGAGATGACTTGGGCGAGATACTAATATTCTTTTCATAACTGTTTGCATAGTTAATAAATTGTTCGAACCTCATGTCGGCTATCTGTACCTATTTGCCGCGAGTAAAATTGAGAATTACTCCCACTTTCTCAGTTGAGAAAGTCAACCAAACGAGCACCATGCATTGCATGCAAGATTTTTAGAACACGTTCAGTACAGACATTGACGATATCTTCAACTTAGACATTCACACGTTTAGGTATTTTCTGGCTAATATTTATTTATATTTTTCGTAATATAAAGAATATATTTTCTCTGAGTTTTATGCGAGTTATTTTGTATTTTTAGTCTTTACCTGTTAATAATTTTCATTGCTACTTTTTTGTCAATTCAATTTTTGTGTCTAGTTTTATGATCCGCATACAACATTGCATAATGACATCATAGAGTGGGCATAAATGTACTTAAATGTATTTTTGTGCATCATAATCAGGGCACTTTAGCACTTCATGAGCGCATAAAATAAACGGGTGACAATTATTATGACGACGACAGTGATAATAATAATGATGATAATGATGACAATAAAACCACCTTTCAAATGAAAGTGAAAGAGAGAACGAAACAAAAAAAAAGTATCATACACTATTAAATTGAGGCTTCATAAGGTGTATCTTGCTAATTGCTTAGCTAGTGTCTTAGCGACCTTACGGCAGTGTTTCCCAAGCTGTGAGTCGCGTCAGACTCCGCAAAAAATCGCGCTCAAAAAAACGTAAAAAAACAACAAAACTTGGCTTTTTTGGGGTGGTTTTGATGACAACAAAGTACAGGTGGCAGCTCGATATCAAGCCGAAACTGAGTTAAGGTGTCCAGTCTCCGCCCTCGTTTTGAGTGAATTATGCTCCAACAAACAAACTCACCATAGTCATTTAGGAATGCTCATTCTTCTGGCATGCGTTTTTCCTCGTTTAAAAAAAAAAAGTTTTATTTTGAATTAATGTCACTTGTTAAATAAGACATCAGCGGCAATATTGTGTATTTCTTTTTACGCACTAAAATCGTAAATGGTTGTGGCATCGTGAAAAGCAGGAGGCCAAGGGGGGGGGGGGGGGGGGGGGACACAGTACTTTCTATATTGGTAGGTCGTAGGATAACAGAGTCTGGAAAGCACTGGCCGGCTTACGGTATTTAAGTTTCGTCTTTAGCAAGATTTATATATAAACCTCTTATGATCTATATTAAAAAGAAAGAGACTGGTAGGTGCCTTTTGCTATCTGCCCTGTGATTATTGGACGAGGGACGAGTCCTGAGCGCAAGAAAAGAAAAAAAAAACTTTATCGGTGGCTAATAGCTTTGTATAAACTATGTTCACCTCTACGGACAAGCATAAAATCAAATTTAAATATTTTTATTCTAACTGACACGTTGTGCGCGGTGTTATCGCCGCGCACAACACGAGACAGGGACGGCAGCATAACGCAAAGGGAAAAAAAGGAAATTATTTTTTTCCCGGACTTTTCTTTGCGTATCCCAAAAGTCAGTTTTGTGCCCACGAGAGATTAGCTTGTCACACATAATTTGTACCAAAGTATTCTCTTTTTCTCCTTACCTCGCCCGTGGCTTCCACAGCACTGCGCAAAGAGTGAGATTTCCTGAGCTATACCCAATCTAAACACACTTTTGGAATATCCAGGTTTTACTCTTCCCTGCATGTTTTTTGTTATCTCTAAACTTAAAATGGCCATTGCGAAAACGGCAAATGAGATATGAAAAAAAGAGTTAGT